GAATGAATAATAAAGGGATCCCAGAGTTTCTCTGGATTTCAATGTGGACAGATGCAAAGTAATAAAGGTTATTTTCTCCCTCCACTGGGTACAAGTATAGACACAAGACAACCAATGTAGTCTACATACTACAAGGCCCGCCTTTGGTATCTCCAGCATCTAGCTTCTCCAGGAACCATGCTCCTCTTCAACACTGCCATTCAGACCATCTCACTTCTACTTTCAGTCGCCCAGGGCCCTCCTGCTCTTCTTTATTACCCCTTTCTATCAAAGCAAAAAACAGACTTATATTGTAGAATGGCCCTTAAGTACTGAGAACTGAGGCTAACAGGAACCTCAAGGTTATCTAATTCATCCATTCATTGTATAGGTGTAAAATTTTAAGAATTAAGGACTGCTGCACCTTCTCCACTTGGCTAATTGGTTAATGAGAAACCAGGATTATTAAATGCCTCATTAACTGAATAGGGCAGATGAAGGTGCCATCCATAATAATTGAAAGTTCTTCTGGTTTTAGACAACTTCTTATGTTTGTCCCTTTCTATATAAGGCTGTATATTGAAAAGGATACAATCCTATTGCATTTTTTCACTTCAAGATGCCATGTTATCTTTTAGTGAAAAAGGGGTTTACTAAACAGAAAAACAAAACGAGATGGAATTACCCTGGATATAAAAGCTCACATAACAAAAAGGCAAATACTGTATGATTCCACTTACATGAGGTACCTAGAATAGGCAAACTCATAGAGACAGAAAGTAGAACGATGGTTACCAGGGGCTGAGGGGAGGGGAGAATGGGGATTCATTGTTTCATGGGTACAGAATTTCAGTTAAGGATGATGAAAAATTCTGGAGAGGATGGTGTTGATAATTTCACAGGTTTGTGAATGCAGTCAATGCCACTGAATCATATAATTTAAAATGGTGAAAATGGTAAATTTTGTTATCACAATAGAAAATAAAATTCTAAAAAAATATCCGACAATGGCCTGTTCTGACCTTAGGGTGATTTCCCCCTTCCTAAGTAAAGTGGAAATATCCTGGAAAAAAAAAAAAACTGCAAAAGCTCATAGCCTGAATCACAGCAGACCTAGAAAGTGTCCAAGGCTAAAATGCCAGATTTCCAACTGGCATGTTACCAGAATAACCTAACTAATCATGTCAGAAACATTGGAGTACCCAGCAGGATACCATACAAGGACAATGTTAGTGAAGTTTAGTAACCACTTACGTACCTTGCTTAAAGTAATGTGCTTTTGACTTGACAAAGTTATCCTCCTTTTCATCCTAAACCCAGGCAATTTAAGGAGATGAAGATGCTCACAGTGATTGGGTTAAGGGGTCCTGCTGTGAAATTCAGTTTTAAAGTTTTAGATTAGTATTTCCCTATGCTTCTTAGGACATGAGTGTATAGATATTGCAATTAGAATTTAAGTAGGATGAGAAATCAGGCTGTCAGCTGTAGCTACTTTTTCTTAGTTTGGAGGAGTGAATAAGCTGGGTAGATACCACTGATCTACAAGTCAGAAGAATCAACCTTCCCTTTTGTTCATTAAAATGCATGGCACATTCACATTCACATAGAAGAACTCTTGCACATGTGTGTCAAGACACACAAAAAAAGTTTTCAAATCACATTCTTTGTAATAGAAAAACATGGGGTCCAACCCAAAAGCCCTTTAATAAGAGAATGGGTAAATAAAGTGTGGAATATTTGACAATAAATATGACATAGCTACATGCAACAATATGGATAATTCTTAAAAATATAACATTGAATTTTTGAAAGTGAGAATATAATATATGCCCTTTTTAGGAATCAAAAATAAGCAGACCTACACAACATATTATTCAGGAGTACGTACATATGCCATACAACTGTTTTACAATAAGGGGCATGGGGAATGGCTTAGGAGAAGCCCACAAAGAAACATGCAACAGCATAGGTAACAATCTAGTTCTTCCCCCGCCCCAGGCTTCTGTTTATTTGAACAGACTTATTGAGATTTAACTCACATATGACACAATTTATCCATTTGAAGCATATAATTTAATGATATGTGCAATCATCACCACAGTCAATTTCAGACCATTTTCATCAGCTCAAAAAGAAACTCTGTACCCTTTAACTAGCACCCTCCCTTACCCCAACTTCCAGCGCTAGGCAATGACTAACTGATGTTCTGTTTGTATAGATTTCCCTGTTCAAAATGCTTTCATGTGAACAGAAGTATACAATATATGTTTTTTGGTGACTAGGTTCTTTCACTTTGAATAACATTTTTGAGTTTCATGTATATATTATGTATTAGTACCTGATTTATGGCCAAATAATATCCAATTGTATGGATATACCACATTTTATTTATCCACTTATCAGTTGATGCACATTTGGGTTGTTTCCACCTTTTGGCTATTAGGAATGGTGCTGGTATAAACATTTGTATATAAGATTTTGTGTGGACATATGCTTCCATTTCTCTTGTATATATGTACTTGGAAAGAAATTGCTTTATTATATGGTAACTCTGTCTAACTTTTAAGGAGCTGTCAAACTGTTTTCCACAGCAGTGGCACCATTTGATATTCCCAGCAGCAGTGCACAAAGGTTCCAGTTCCTCCACATCCTCACCAACACTTTACTGTGGTTTTGATTTGCACTTTGCTGATGAATAAGGATGCTGAGCATCTTTTCATGTGCTTACTGGTCATTTCTTTGGAGAAATGTCCATTCACGTCCTTGGACCATTTTTATATTGGGTTATTTATCTTTTTATTATTGACTTATAAGAGCTCTTTATATATTTTAGATAACAGTCCCGTATTAGATATATGATTTTAGAATATTTTCTTCCATTTTGTGTTATCTTTTTATAAATATTTAGCTCTTAAGCCCTAGTTTTTAGAGTTGTGTGACAAGGGTCACAAAAGGTCATTTGAATGTAATGTTTATAGCTTATATAACTTAGAACCTTACTTTTATGTTTAAATAGTACATAATTAATGAATTAAAGACAAAACCTTATGCATAAAGATATCTGTTAGATAATATTTAAGACACCACAAAACACTGTAATGCCCCAAATAAATTAATGCTACTTTTGAAGACCTTTAACTCAATTCCTAGGTATGACTTAGGCCCTAGGAGAATCTGGCTCATTAATCCTTTCAAAAGTGTCCTCTTCAAACTCTGTCACATGGTAAATGGGGGTAGCAAACTACCACCAATAGTACAAGGCTCTACCCTCCCTTCCAGGCTTTGTTTTCCTCCCTCCTCTCCAAAGCCATGAATGATTTTTACGTTTTTAAATGCCTGGGGAAGAAAGAAGAAGATTTCACTACTGGAGAGAATTATATGAACTTCAAATTTCAGGATCCATAAATAAAATGAAACGCAGCTGTGTATTGCCTATGGCTGCTTTCAAGCTATAATGGTATAGCTGAGAAGTTATACTAAAGGGACCACATGGCCAGCAAAGCCTACTATCTAGCCTTTGCTCAAAAAGTTTGCCAAACTTTGTACATCGACAAATTGACTTCTCATTCAACAATGAGCAGCAAAAAACTATTTCCTACTAGCCAAGGCCAGCTCAATAGTCACCTTCATGATTCTTCATAGTCAATTTCTTTTTCTTTTAATAAATATTTATATTACACCTGGACTCTAATTATATTAAGGATTTTTAGATTTGGGGTTTCATGGATTAGTCTTTTCTTGCAAATTATGCAATTCCATTTCCAGAAGTCATGATCCAGCCACACTCAAGCTGTTGAGTTAATTATTTTAACAAACTTTTATGTCTGCTCATTACATGCCCTGAGTCAAATACTGTTCGGTGTTATAAGAACTACCAAAACCCATCCTTGTCCTCAAGAGGCTTGCAGTCTAATCAGACTCTAGTAACTATAAAAACAATTTCCTCAAAGATTACTACAGTAAAGATCACCCCACTGTTGTAACCTTAGATTGAATGGGTTTAGATATTTTACCCCACAATTTGAAGACATGTTCTTTAAATTAAAAGAAATCTTTACTCGCAGTAAAGAAATAGTACTCTGCAAACAATTCCGGTAAACTAAGGTGCATGAGTCCCACAGGCTTCTGCTTTCCCATGGCTCTAGAACCACGGGTTCTTGTTTTTTTCTCTTAAGTGTTCATCTCCGCCTTGGACGTTTGGATCCGATCCGAGCTCAGTATCTTAAATGCAGTTACCCATATTTACACATTGGAAAAAAAACGCATCAATTCAAGTATCGCTAAAACTTGCAGCCTATTTGTGATGAGAATAAAGAAAAGGCCATCCGAATGTGATCATCAGCCCTAAAAGTGATGACAGCGGCGCTGCTTCCATGAACAACCCTCTACCCAAAGCGGCCAGAGACCCAGCCGTGAGGTGCCTTTTTCAAGCTGTCCCTCAATGCCTCAGTTGCCTTTGCTTTTTTTTTTTTTTAGTTACTCATTGCCTCAAGTTAGGTTCTGCAGAGAAGCCAGGTCCGGTTTTTCCCCAGCACTCTCTGATACAAGGTGGCTGTGGTCAGACCCAGACCAATGACAGCCTCCAACCCTCCCCCACGCATTCCCCGCGCTAGGCTCAGAGCTCCGAGGGCAGACACCCGCAAAGTTTGACAAGCCTAGCGCGCGAGGCCACCAGCTCAGTTGCCAGCCTCCTCCCGGTCCGCACTAGTCTTCTGAGTGGCCCCAGGTGCCTAGGGCAGGGGGCTCCGCGGGGGGCGGCAGGAGCTTTGCTGCGCTGGGGCGGCCTCCCGAGCGCAGGGCCCTCAGGCATCCTTCCCAGGCTCCCGCCAGCGTCCCCGCCCCAGGTTCGGGGCGTCCTGCCCCCACCGGCGCCCGCACCGCCTTTTTCCTCCCACGCCGCTTCCCGGCCTCTCGGCATCCCACCCATTCAGCGCAACTTCCGAGCCCCGGCCATGGGAGCCCCCCACACCTGCACCCAGGGCCCTCCTCGCTGTCACCGGGCCCAGGCGCTCCGAGATTACCTGCTTGGGTGCCCTGGGGTCTTGTCCTCGGCGATGCAAATCCGTGTTCCGCCACTCGAAACCTCCTCCCGCTAGTCCTCCTCCCCTCCTCCCCCTCCCCCTGGATGGGAGTCGGTGTCAGTCACGCTGCTTCTGGGGAGAGTCGCCAGCGGCTTCCGGGAGCTCCAAATACAGACAAGCCAAGGGGGAGAGAGAGGGAGAGCAAAGCTACGCGGGTGGGGAGTGGAAATAAAGGGGAACAGAGAGGAGAGGAGGATGGAGGAAAGGAGGGGCAGATGGGCCGTGGGAGAAAAGAGAGGGAGATGGGGAAACAAGAGGAAGGGAGAGAGAGCCTGCCAAGCGCCAGGCTGTGAAAGCAATGAAGTCATCGCACCAAGCAGCATTGCAAAGTCTGGAAAGATCCAGGAAGCTCCTGGCTGAACAAGCCACAGGCAGATTGGACCTCAAAAGACTTGTGCAGAGAAATGATGGGCTCTTGGGAAGCAGGAGGCAGAGCAGCCTATCCTGCAACCCCAGTAGGTGGATAAAGACACTGATAGGAGAGGGAGTGAAGGTGTAGCTTTAGCTGGGCATCAAGTTCACATGCACTCATACCTTAAGACATTTTAAATGTATTCTTAAAATGTATTTTACATACAGCATCTTTAAAGGAAAAAAATGTGCCTGATTATTTTAAAACAAATGTACCCCAAACCAATCTACTTTTCAAGTGTGAATTTGTGGCCATTGCTCCGTTATACATTGATTATAATTACAAAATTGTGAGGCTTTTTACTTTTTTGTTTGAACAACTAGAAGAAAAACATTGATTTTCAATTTTCATCAGTTTATTTGAATTTGCAAAAGGGGACTTGAAGTTCTTTGTTGAATGAATGCCAGGAAAATAATTACTGATAAGAGAAAAGGGGGGGGGATGTAATTGATACTTTTTAAAACAAAATATCCAAACAAACGCAGAGATGAGTATCTAAAAAGCCAGCAATCTGTGTTGATGATAAAATTGGGTCTAATTTATTTCTATGCGTTACAAGAGCTTATTCTGACCCCATAGGTCACAACTTAAATGAAAGTCACTTCTATTTCACATTGCTCTTGGCTATCAGTGAAGGTGAGGAGTAACTTTTTGCTCTCCTTTGTCTAGAAAGAAGGAAAACAAAATGACATAAACTTGAGAAATGAATTTATACACTGCATACATCCAGAATCAGTGCCATCCTTATTGTGTGCATGCCTTGCACTTGGTAGGTATCATGTGTTGAGAGCATTTATGTTCCAGTGATATGAAAAATAATATATCTATAATATCAACTTGTGTGGATTCATTGGAAACTTCCAAACATCCAGTCTAATAGGACTTTTTTCCTTAGCATTAACTTCAACAAATATTAATAGAACATTTCCTTTAGCTAAGTATATTTTGCATTGGAGTATAAAGTATTATGGAGTGTAAAAGGAAATAAGACAAAAATCCTGCCTTTCAGTTTATAATATAGCAGGAAGATAAAGAGAATGTAAAAATAACCACAGTATAAGGAAGGCTGAAAAAATATCCTAAGAGAAATATGAGCAAAGCTTCATGGCTGTGCAGTAAAGAGGCAGTTTACTTCTAGTACTGGAGATCAGAGAATGGGTCTGGGTGAAAGTGAGAGTTGACCCTTCACGCAGAAATAAAACAATAAGACTGGGTGGTAGGGGAAGGACACTCAAGATGAAAGGAGCAGCAGGGACAAAAGTGGGGGAGGTGACAAAGGATGGACATGTATAAAGGACAGTCAGTGAGCTTAGCTGGAACGGAGAGTTAAGGGAGCCAGATCTGGGAAGGAAGGGTAGGTGTTTGAACCCTCAGGGGCAGACAGTGGGGCACTACTGACAGTTTTGCAGCAGAATCACGACAACAAGAGTTATTTTGGTTATTCTCTCCATGATTGGAAAGAGGTAGGAGGCAAAGAAAATCCTCGACGTCTTTCACTTTTGCTTGAGATTCCACCCCAAACCTGCCTTTCTCCTTAGCAGATTGTCTCATCTGCTGTACCAGTTCTGCTGCCATGTTAAAGTCCATGCGTTCAACTTTTCTCATGACTTCTCCTACCTCAAAACTTCCCCTCTCCTCTGCTCCTTAAATTTCATTTGAATTGATTTCGCCTTCCGTGGCCAGACCAACAATATTCTTGTCTCACAACACGTTGAGCCCCTACTCTTGCATCTGAGTCTCCTCCTCTCCATTGATTTTGTCACCCTGGATTACACTGAAATTGCAACCAGCCAGGACTGTACCAAGAGCTGGTAATATGGTAGACACATGGAAATGAGGGGCTTGGCATTAGAGTGGTTTTGCCATTCTTCTACATTTCATTATACAGTGTAAAACTTTTAAACTATTTTATATGAGGGGGCTTTGCTAGAATCTTGACAGAAAGTAGGTGACTCAGGACCTATAAATTCATGGTCCATAAAGCTTACACAAGTATTAGAGGGAACCTAGGCTTTCATGATCTCTCTCCAAATTCTGCTCCTGGGGTCCAGATGCACCTGTGTATCAGTCTGACATGCAGGAGGTTAACCATCTCTGCACTGGCTTGGTGAACAGTCCTCCTCAAGGGGATGGATGTATTGGGTGGAAACCAACAAGCCCAAATATACTCTTTTTCCTAAGCTTGTTCCTCATAGAGTAGGAAGAGAGTGTGGGTCCCTGGATTTTAAGTTGTGTCTTAAATGCTATACCCCAGGTCTCTGTGAAGGCTGCTCCACCCACATGGCTGCTGAGACAACTGAGATCAGATTCTTGCCCATGTGCTATCTTACCTTAGCCCCTTTAACATTTTGGTATGATCTCTTACTGGGCAATGGAAAACAGCCAGTGAACACAATGTTCTTCTTGGGAACGTTTCCCAGCCCTGAGAAAGAAAGGATAATGCTGGCGTGCCTCCACAAACACGCCTTCTCAGGAGTCAGAAGATTTCAAGAACTTGTTCCCAGTGTGCCATGGGAGTTTGTGTTTTATTTTTAATAACTGTCACGTGGAAAGTTATCAATGGTAATTGTACCAGCGATGGAGTCATGCATTGTGCTAAGAATGCAGTACTCTCAGCAAATAAACCAATAACCATAGCTAAGACTTACTGAGCACTTACCATGTGCCAAGTTGTATTCTAAGTATTTTATATGTATTAACTCACCAGCTTTATGACATAGGTACTGTTCTTATCTGCATCCCATAAATTAAGAAATGGGCCTAGCTAGAGAGATCTAGCCATTTGCCCAAGATCACAAAGCAACATTAGCAGTGGGATTTTGGCTTGACTTTGTTCACTTAACCACTACACTTTGTAGGAGCAAAGAAAAAAAATAAGAATTAATATAAAGCTATTAGTCAATATCACAAATGCCCTAAGTCTAGGTATCTGAACAGTTGTGATGGGATTGATATCTATGCATCCCCAAGAATACCTAGAAATAAAACTGATATCCTGCTTCCATTGAGCTGATGTAATAGGAATAAGTAAACTTGACTAGAGAAAGTGATAGAACTATATAGTATTGTACTTCAGAGTGCAGAGAATGGGGTAGGTGAGTGTAGGGTAAGTGGAGGCAGTCTGGCTTCCTCACCCAAGTGTCTGGGTAACTAAGGTGTTCTCATAACCTTGAATGGGCCTGATAAGTAGTGTTCTCATAGCCTTGAGACTGGGTCCAGAAAACTGTTCCCATAACATGAAGTGGGCTCACATGCACAGTATTATGCTGTTATATAATTTTCTGGCTTGAAGCTGGCTTTGTTTGCCTCTAGTACTTAAGCAGGTAGGGACTCCCTGCTGGGTGCCACAACATGGGCCACACTGGGAAACAAGGGCCACACTGTGTGCCGTGCAGAAGGGACAGGTGATATGCAGAGACTTGCAGAGACATGCAGGGAGACATGCAACTTGCAGTGTGCGTGGCTCGCCCACCCGTGAATAAAGGCATGCCAGACAGCCCAGCAGCTCCATGAATACTCTTCCATCTGAACGAATACTATGAACCTGTCAGGCCTTGACAAGCTGCAACATAGCAAGTAATACTATCTTGAGTTTATGAGACATAGACAAAGAAAAGTTATATAAATTAAGTGTGCCCCCATCTCTGCAAAACAAACTCCCTGGGCAGGTGTAACAGTGAGTCACTGACTGCTTTGGGCAGATGAATTCATTACATTCTTTCTTCTCAAAGAGGAAACCAGTGTCGCTCAGCTCCTGCATCTTGACCTTTCTCCTCTCTCCACCGCAGCATTGGAACCTTGTGCCAGAGAAGTCAAAGACCCTGAAAACAAGTTTAAAACATCCCAAACGTTAACCATGCGAAGTCTCTAGTAAAGATTTCTTTCTTACTTATTTCCATATATCCTGACCTAGAATTTATAAGAGAGAGAACTCTTTGATGGCTCTGCTCTGTGGTCTGATTTCCCCTGATATGTTATACTGAGCTTTCACTTTGACAGAGCAGCAAGTATGGCAGAGCTGGCCACATCACACCGCCTCTTCATCACCACCTCCACTGTCCACTTCCCTACCACCACCACCAACACCCTGGTTTCCTTTGGCTGTCCCTTGCTCTTCGATACATAGTTTAGAACATGAAAACAAACTGGAGGTAGCAGCATTAAACCCTCTTTTTTTCAAGGTGAGGACCCTTAGTCATTACTTTAATGGCTCTGTCCACCCACAAATGGTATGGGGGAGGGGAAGGGATGAGCACAAATTGAGTGTATCAACTATAAATAGAAGAAAGGGAAGATAAACAACAGTTTCTCCAGTGCTGCAGAGACTAAAAATGACACTACATTTGCTCAGTGAATAGAGATTCTAAACCTGGGATACCTAAACAGGCTTCAGGAATCTATAAGCTCCGTGAATTCTACAGGGTGGAATAAAAGTAGGTTTACAGTTGTGAGCATGCAAAACAGATTTTACCTGTATTATTATGTTAATTCTTATACTACTTTCCATAGGAACTACTGTAAACCTCCTTTTGTCCCACCCTTTATGTAATGTCTTATGTTTTGTACATTTATTTGAGAAAATGACCTACAGCTTTTATGATATATTTTTAGTCATCTATGTCTAAAAATTGATTGATATCAATGATTTATAGAAATGCAAAACAGAGAAAAGTGGTTCTTCCCTGAGTCCCTCAGCAAAACCGCCATGAACATAGTCTCTGGTTCTCCAGAGCAGAGCGAGAACAACCTCGCTCAGCGCCATCATCCAGGCAGATGGTGTCTGGTATGTTTAACTTTTGGGGGATGTCTTCT